AGAGGGAGGGAGTACGCGGATCCTAGGCCATTTAATGCGAGTCCCAGCATCAAGTTATTTCTTTGCTCTCTCACGTTTACGAAAAATATCTATAACTAATTTGTTTCTATTGCTAACATTTCTAATTACAAGATTCTCATCCCTATACTCTTTTTCTACACTAGATTTTCGAAATAAATTATCCCACCCATGTCTACAGGATTTTTGTCTATCTATATCTCTCCCAAAAACGCAGATTATGTAAAATAATGTTCCCTGTAATGAAACTTCTCAGAGATTAAGTAATTTCGAATCTATGGATAAATTCGGGAGATTAGCAACTGAGGTAAAAAAATATTTCCGATTCATACTTACCATTATTATTAATTTTCGCAACATTCCATTCCACCTGAAATTTATTACTTAATGCATTACAATAAAGGTAATTCGATTTTTTTATTGCCGGCACACTGCGCCAAATTTTGTTGAGAAGCGTGATGTTAAGGCATGTGACGAGATTCATGTGAATAGTTTCACTGCGTCTATTGTATGCGTGATGATTGTCAAAGATTTTCTCAGCGAAGATCAGAATGCCGATATATATCAAGAAGAGTAATATGTCCGTTTTATTTTAGAACATCTATAAAGGTGGGAAAATCGATTAACATCGTGATGACATGTTTCAAGAAGCTAGCCAAGCAATAAAACCAACATACCTTATAATACTTTATGGAATATACTCGTTTGTTTGATTGGAGATAATATCGATGATGTATGTAAATTATGGTAAGTTTGAATGTTTCGCTTATTTTTTTGTTTTTTATTTGTACAAGGCGGATAAATAGATTCACTAACTAGGACGTCTCTCCTTTATAATTTACATAGGATCTAGAATCAACAGGGCTTTTGGAATATGCCTTTGTATGATCGTATCATGAAAGATGATTGATGATATAGTAATAATTACTTAAAAATGCGTTACCCCTCCCCTATTCTATGTACCCCTAAAAAGGAAAAAAATCGGAATAATTCTACTACGTCTCTCTACAGAATGGAATTAGAATTTAGTGTATACATGTATAATTAAGTGTGCTAACGCAAACGGGATAATACATTTATTCCGAATCGCGAGCATGCGACATACAAATTCAGGGTCAGTTTTTTATTAAAATATATGCCAGAACTTTCGAGCAAAGCTATAAAAAATGGCCATGTATGATGACATTATTACGTAGAATTTTTTACCAGTTGTCCAAATTATATGACGAAATTTGCAAATGTAATTAATTATTCATATCACTTGTAAAACACACAAACAGTTTTAAAAAATTGAAACAAAGCTATTTATTATATTTTTCGTAAAGTAATACATGAGAAAAGACTGGCTAAGTAAAAACGATAGAGAAGCAAGAGGAATAAGCCAAGCCTAACACATAAGATTGGCAGTTCCTTTCCATTATCTAAAACTAGCTACCCATACGTTTATCTGATTAATTGTGCTAACTTTACTATCACTAACACCATTATAAAATTTTTTCACTGTTGAAGTCTTAATATTTCCTCCAAGACTACAAATATCAATTACTACCGAGAAGTATATCTCATCAAAAGTATAATCCCCCGCCTTCATAAGTTGATTAAAGTGTTGTTTAAAGCGAATTTTAATGTCTAAAGTAATATCTAAAATTCCAGATAAATTGGAGCCTTCAGAAGAAGAGTTTGAACTAGTTGAAGCTGAGGCAGAGTCTAGCGAACTTTCCAATTCAGATTCATTAGTTTCAGATTCATTAGACACACTTTGTTGATAAAATCAGCTCTTCAGATAACCGCATAACGTTAGGCTAAATCATTTTGAAGAATTTCAATAGAAGCTTTAATTAATATAAATTCAGACGAAATTCCACAAAAATTATAATGATGTAATTCCAGAGTTTTTTCAGCTTTACTAAGTTTATTTGTGATGGTATTAAGCGAAGCTAAAAATCCATTTGCTTCCAAAGAAAAGCTGTTATTACGTGCATTAAAATTTTCAATTACCGCAGTAAGTTCCTTAGTAAAACTAGCGTTATTTTCCCTAATCTCTGCAATGAAAGTATTATTAATTTCAGATACATGTGCGTTGATTTCATTAGCAATTTTCGAATCATATGCGGTAAGATCATTAGTCAATTTTGAATCATGTTTAATAAGTATATCGGCGACTTTTTTCTTATTAACACATAAGAACAACCACATGGCGACGATTCTCATGAATAGAGAAAATTTTTTGGGAAACGATGTTGGAGCAATGAGTAAAAAGAAGCAGAAAGAACCAGAAATGGTATACCTTCTGAAACGTTAATAAAAGGAAAATAGACATGATTAGTTAAATTGATACGCAGTAATTTTATTGAGAAGTGAGCTTATTGGTGAATTGAATCAAAGTTTTTTTGTTTTATAATATGCAATTTTCTTGAAAATTTTACTTGATTTGATAAATTATGTTACTTTATTTTTTTCATAATTACGTTTTTTTTATCTATAACAATTATAACAATGTCTAATAACTCTTCCTGAATTTGAGACGTATTTAACAATAGTGCTTAAAAGAAAATCTGACAAATTACAGTTTTATGATAACTTGATATGCTGTGATTTAATATTAATGGAGTAATAAAAATGTAAAGATGAGACTGTTACCAAGAAATATACTGTTTATCGTTAAGATCACAAAAGATCTGAAAAATCGTGCACGTTTTTATATTGTTTAAGCTCCTATTCGTATTCTAATACAAATCTATTAATGACCTGTAAATGGAAATTTGTTTTATTATGTAGAATGTAGGCCTCTTATATTTCATAGAATCAAGATCTGTAAATCGGTAGATTAAGAGATGCAATTTCCATTCTTGTCCCATTCTAACATCAGGAATATTAGATTGACTTGCATAATAATGCTAATTCAAAGATTTGTAATATGTGTATTATACTACAAGTCTAGAACTTTCTGGAAAAATAGTCAACAGATTAATTATTCATTGATCTAGTCTCACGATCTAGCCCATAGATTTGCAAGTCCAACTAATTCACATAAGCTATTGATGTATTACTGCATATAACATATTCTGCGATATAGATTTTTAGAAAATGATTATTTGACTGTGCAATTCAAGACCTTTATTTTCAGCATCATTAAGCAGACCCATTACTCTTTTCGTAGTTAGCACCTGACACAATATCGCAACTGATCCATGACTTAACCATCCTTTTTTGCCTTTTCTCACTTAAGTGATGAAATCAGTTATGTGATTATCTATTTTATTTTCAAAATTTTGCACCTTAGAAATGAGACCAGCTTGAATAGATATTTTACGAAATACCTTCATACCAAAGAGCTCGTTCACTAAAGTGAACTGTAATATGCTTTTTCTTGTGAATCATTGCATTAGTTTTCAAGCTCTATTGAAGCACGAATAAAGTTATCAATCTAAGGTATATTTTTTCGATCATATTCTAGTACTTCATAAACTTCATCAATTACGAGACCTTAATGTGTTAGCTCTGCTAATAGTTCTGTAGCCATCATTATAAGGCTTTCAGACTGGATTTTCTCAGCTGATGCTGGAGTTGTGAATTGTGTGGGTTAAATACGTCTTTTATTCTTTTTACAAACTATACTTACTCTTAACTTTAGAAGAGTGAATTCAAATTTTGAAGAAAAATAAATGAAATAAATGACTGCAGATATAGTGACATAGTTACTACGCATAATATCTAAGCCATCCACGTGATTCAAAAAAAAGAAATATACTTTTATACGAATTTACGTAATTTAGTTAATGCGAGTAATTAGATTCACTCAATAATTCTTCTAGGTGGTTACCGGAGAGATAATAGGACTCATCATTGGGAGGTTTTTCTTTTATATCTTCTATTACAATAATAATAACCTCTATCACATTCACTATATTCATTATATCTACCGTATCTATTATCATCTGAATCATCTGACATCTTCTCTTCAGAATCACTATCATAATACGAAAGTGCCTCTGACTTTACCTTATCTGATTGTGAAACAACCTCTTCATTTATTTCTTTTTCTGACTTCTCGAAATATACATCAGATGATATGAGTGTAGTTGGTACATTTACTTCAGGCAAATTTTTTTCAGGACATAATGTCTCAGAAATTTCAGTCACATGATCTGTTACTGAAGGTAACTTTTCTGAAGATATTCCATAATCTATAACCTCTTGAATTTGTTCATTAGTAAGCTCTGAAATAGAAGTTACACTATAAGATTTAATATACTTGATTTTATCTAATCCCACTCGTTCGATAAATTTATAGACTTTCTCAGCTCTCTGAGTTTTCTTGCGCAAACTATCTCATGATACATCTTAAAGTTATAATCCCGTTTCTTAGGATCTCTGTTTACAAAACAAATTAAGCTGTTTTATAATAGAATCATATAGTAAACCTCTTGCCTTCTTTTCACCAAATTTACCTGGTCCCTTTGGGACCCTTCTGCTATTTTCTATAATTCCATTGAGCTGAATTATAAAATCTTTCGCATAGAGGCATCAGTATAAAATTTCTTCCTGATTAGTTCAATTTGCTTTATCTTTAGCATCAAAGCTTTATCGCATAACTGAGCTAGATGTTGTGAGGCCTTATCAATGCTAGATTTATCAGAAATAACTTTTCTGAAACATAATGTCTCAGAAATTTTGATCACATGATTTTGTTCTGTTAATGAATCTTGTGTAGACAACTCCAGAGTAAATAATTCTTGCTTAAGCTTATCCACACCCTTCTCTTTCTTGCACTTTGAATCCAGTTTGCTATATATCTTTTCTTCTGATAACGTGCTATTGCATGGCTGAGTAACTGAGTTGAGATCTTGAAATATTTTCTCTTCAGGATGTGTTGAAAGGAACTCTTAGGCTTGAAGTTTCTTTTCCCGATTTCTCTGTTTAATCTCATTACTAACCTTTTTCTTGTGCTTCTCATTCAAGAAAGCGTCCATTTTCTTGTCTTCGGGTAATGAAGTATCTACCAATAGTTTCTCATATTACGTTACTGTAGGCACTTGATCTGCAATCAAATTGAAGTTAGATGAAGAGTTGTTAGAAGTATTATCATCTTGCAACTGATTCTATTTCATTTTCGTGAGTCTATCTCTAAACTCAACATTCTCAGATTCTAACTTCTCAATTCTGACCTTGGGTTTGGCATTTTTAGCATTATACTACTTACTCATTTTTTTAGTTGATCTTAAAGCCTCAGCAATCCTGCGTTTAAGTTTAACTCTTTTAGTATCAAACTCTGAGATCTTTTTTCTAAGATCAGGTATTTTGGCATTCTCAGTCTCAAGCTCGCCAATGCGCTGTTTTAATAATTCAAGCTCAGGGGTAGCTTCATTAACTGACATGATCAATAATAATTTTATATATGAAGGAATTGTTCAATATTCTGAAAAAAATTTTTATTAATACATGCAAAATATAAATACAAAGTTCAGGATGTAGTCTGTGATACATATTATTTTTTGATTATTTTTTTAATCCTAGCCCTCTTACTAGTTAGGAAACTATCTACACTAACCCTATTCTTTAACAGCTCAACAATTATACCTATTATCCTTTTTACATTGTTTTGAAGTAACTCAGGATTTTCTTTGATGGCAGACTTTGTGAGATAATTTAATATTTGCTATCACTTGTAGAGAAGATGCCATCTAGAGTATATATGATAAAATGCCACTCCATACCTGTGATCACAATACTATAGATATAGTCAAAATAGTTATTCCTAAATGCTTAATTTAACGTTCGTTTCTTTTTATTAGTCTGAAATGCACTTTCAAGTTGCACCAGATTCTGAAGAAAAAAATAAAATGCTATTAATACTATTGAATCTTCTATAAAGCACGAACGGATAGTAAATTTACCTGCGCATATCTGATTTTAATATTACGAGGCTTTTCTTTAGTAATACATAAGAGGTTTTCTAGACTTTGATTGCGTAGTCTACTCTGCCTGTTGCATTCTCACCAGATATATCTTTCTGTAAAACTATAATTATATCTTGAGAGGTAAGTTTTTTAGCTATAATAATGAATGTATGAAGAATCAATGAAATAAATTCACAATGCGTCACCTCGTTGGCATCGATCATAGTTTTCACATTTGAAAGTTTTAATATAATGTCTTTTATATAGTATTTGAATGCCTTATCATTATCACTAATCTTCTCGAAGACTGAAGGTAAAGAAAAATAAGTTAATATATGTAATACTCCAATCTGGAAAATTAAGAGAGTAATTATATACCAGAAGTAAACTGCTTGATGTTTGTTATATCCTCCCCATTGATCTTATTTCTACGCAACATTTCTTTCAAGTTGTTGAGAGTTTTAAGCGAGGAATAGTTTCGTAGCTTCTGATCAAGACCTTCAATAAATTTTACAAGTGTTGTTGCCAACCCTAATGTAAAGCTAATACTGTAAAATTTTTCTTCCGTCAACTCAAGGAAGGCAAGACCAGATATTTTCTCTTTATAAAGAATTTTAATATCATTCTTATCGAGTTTCAAGTCTTTCTTTTCCAAATAATCGATAAGCTCCTCTGTATTAAAATTTTTAACAACATTTGACATTGTTCGAGAAGATATTTCTTCTATTATTAAGGTAGATGAAGCAGATGAAGAAGCTTGTGAAGACATAGAGTTTATATATGTATGTTTGTGCTTGCAAAAAAATATGTACTTGACTGCAGTTATAGGTAAAGCTGATTTATAGATAAAAAAGTATTTTGGTTTCAGCGCTCAGAGAGAAATGATAGATTTTTTTGTATTGATTCATAATGAATTTTCCCAATATATATATGCAATTAAGATGTAGTATAGGATTGTTAGACGATTATATTATATCATTACACGTGACCCTTTTTAAGATTTACGACAAGAATATAATATATGCTTTATTTAAAAAATAAAAAAACCTTGGTTGCCAGAGGTAACTTTA